TTCAGCTGGTCCTTCTGTTGCCCAAGAGGAAGCAAATTTCAGATAGTGCTTCAGCTCCCTTCAGTTATGATTCACCACAAATGAACAGCTAAAACATCGGTTGATAGTAAGGCCATGCAAACAGGGACTTCCACAAGTGGAGACTCAGAGGAAAAAGCAGAGAAAGCTGGCCCCTTGCCTAACTGTGAGTCGCCTTCCTTCCCATTATGCTGCTTTTGTTTTTAGGGTTCCTGTGTGTTTTGCAGCGTCAGCCAGTTGCCAGAGAGGAGAAGACAGCCTTGCATGGGTTTTAGTTATGCCTCAGACCCCAGGCACCACCCAGACCCTACTGTGAGACATGTTCTCTGCTACCAACTGCTGTTAAACCAGAGCAACCTAGACCATAAATCAAGTAACAGAACACCCTGCTGATAAACTGCAGTATACAGAAACTTGCACAATATTTATGGTTTGTTACAGGTTTACACTAGAAGGATCAAACCATAAGGGCTGTGTTGCCCTCTTCTAACAGGGTTCTTATCCAATCTTATCATGACAACTTTCCATGACAGAAAAATTGCTTCTTCTTCTTCTCAGCCTGGACAAATTGCACCATTAGCACAATATCCCCTGTTCAGCCACCCTTAATGTGCTTACTGGTGTGAATTTGTTCTGCTTTCAGCCATTGAATCTTGTTTTGACTTGTGGTACTTCTTCACGTCAATATGCAAAGATCAGGTGTGACTCTTGTGTAAAGACCTTGATACGTGGAGGCACTTAATATATCACATCTAAAATGCAAGAGAGCATGACAGCAATGATTCCAGTTCTTACAAAGAATTGCTGGAGACTACTTGTCAAGAAACAAGTTAAAAAACATCATGCTTGGAAAGAAGGGAGAGAAGGGTGTTGTCAAGCTGACAAAGGTAGGCATTAAGTAACTCAAACAACAGACAAGTTTTCCACTGTCCTGTACATGTTACCACTGTTAACACCGGGTACAAAGTTAGCATCAAGTGAATTAAACCAGACAGTGCTATAGGGTAAGGGATGAGACTGACAGAAGACTACAATGGCCTGTCTTTCCATCTCTATTTTACAAATCCATTGAGCAAACAAAGCCTTGCTGCACTTGCATTTGCCTGCTCTGCATGAGACCCCAAATGAGTGGAGATGTGTAGAGTGAATGAAGGAGCAGCATGAAAATTTGTGTGCCCATACACACATATGACACCAGGGTTAATGAAAGGTCCTTAAAAAGTTTCTCCTTACCAGTATGTTCCATTAGATAAACCTGTGTTTATGTGAGGAATGCATTTACTAATTCAGACCATATTAGCAAAATCAGCCTGTTTGTTAACATGGGTCAGCCTAGCACAGTAAGCCATAACAGTGACATCCCACCCATCCATGTCTCAGCATACCTTTGGGTACAGTTCCACTGAAAAAAAAATTGAGAGAAGAACACTGGAGCATAGGGAAATGAGAGTGGGGGATGTGCTAGATGCCAAACACCTGATTCCTCTTAAGAAGAAATCCCTCGGGGGGGGGGGGGGGGGGAAGGTTTTCTTAAAACAGCCTGCAGAAGGATGGGCTGATAGCTGAAGGAGATTAAGCCAGTAAAGCTGTACTAAGGCTGAACTTCCATGTGTAAAATCCAGCACCTTCCAATGCAGCAAGGCTCTCTGTGTGCTCCTATGGCTGGAGGGGAGGGGAAACTATTGAAAGTAGGAGGAGAGATTAATAAAAACATTCACACATTTAAAGGCTGCTCTTATCTTTGGAAATAGCTAACTTTATCCCTTGCAGTACAAGTGAGCAGTCATTGTCATCACCTGCATAGCAGGAGTGGAATTCTTGGCCAGGGGGAATTACTAAGGTAGGGAGAAAGTCCTCCAGGCGAGGGAGGCTAAAATATTTATTTACAATAATGGATTGCTTTTTAATAAGAACTATGAGGTGGCTTTCCAAAGCCTGCTTTAGGGTTCATGAAAGAAAGGATCAAGTAAAACCATCAAAAATCCCTAAAAAAATTTTGCTAGGTCTGGTGGAGTTTTGCAGAGACAAAAGAATGCCTTTTGCCACTGGTGCCCCACCCCAGTGCCCAGAGCTGTTCTGGCTGGCACAGCTGCAGTGACACCACCCCTTCTGTCCCCACAAGAAAGTGAGTGCTCATCTCATTACTCTGTGAGTAAGAGGCTGCACGGGGCAAGTGCTCACTTCTGTTTTGTGGCCCATCATTTATGCAGGCTTTCAAAATGGAGCTCTGGTTAGCAATCTGAATAATTTTCAGATGGAAAGAAAGAATGCACTGTCCATCACTTCACTCTCCCACTGTGTTGCCAGCAAAGGGTTAAGCCCTACCCTGGTTTCCTCTCTGAGCACAGACACAGGAAGGTTCCCTATTAGTCTGCAGCCTCCTACATTCTGTAGCTCTTCAATTTATCTGCACTCACTGAGACATGCTGTGGTGGGATTCTTTACTTCTGAGGCAGCCAGCACAGGCCACAGTCCTCTGGCACTTCCCAGAGATCCCAAGGAAATCACTGTGTGAGGTTTAGCTAGGCAGCCCTTTGTTTCTATACATGAATCCTCTCAATCACATGCTTGCTCTGGTTTTGTAAAGGCAGATCAAATGAAGTAAGCAAAACTACTTCCAAGGCAAACATTTCACATTTACATTCATACTTGACATCTGAGATCCCTGAGGTCCATGTGTCTTACTTAACTTCTATCTTGCTATTTCTCAGAAGGCTGGATGAGCTGAGAGAAGGAAACAATAATGGGCTGTGGAACCTCTTTCACTTGGAGCCCACTCTTCTCTCAAGCAGTGCCCTTTGTTGAGGCTCCAGTTTGCTTTACAGATGTTTAAAGGGTTGATTTTTAAAAAAAAAAACTTCTAGGAAAACAATTATACACTGATTTCTATCAAACATTTTGCAAAGAAATGATCCTTCCTGCCCCCAATTCAATAAAATAATTCCCCATCATGGGGGTGTCAGGAGAAAGAGAGTGAAATAAGATAACTCTGCTCAGCTTGCCTCAATTTAATGAGCTCCTTTAGGCCTTATCATTCACCGTGTGCTTTCCCTCGTTGTAAACTTCTCAGCCTCATCAAAAAGAGCTCTTTTCTTTTTTTCTTCTATTCTTTTTTTTTTTTAATCAGATTTTGTTTGATCAGCCCTTTCCCCTTTCTTTCCACAATCCCCCACATCACGCTGGAACTGGTACCACTGGTGCATGTCAGCATGCCCTAGCAACAGAGAGATTAAAGAAACACCAGCTCCAGAGGACGGGCCAGCTCGGACTTACTAATTAACTGCAGTGAAAGAAGTGAATGAGAACAGCCTTTTCTTTTGGGCAGAGGAGGCACTAGAGGTGGATGAAGGAGTTCAGCTAAATGAAGCTTTCCCTCCCTCAAAACATGTGTCAACATTCAGAGCAATCCTTTCTTAATAAGACTTTGTGTACGTACAGGGTTTGTATGGATGGGAAAAGGCTGACAGCAGTCAAGGCTGATGCAGAAATACACAGATGAGAGTGATTTCAAACCATGGCTGCCCCTGCCTCGAGCACCCAGCTTCCTCTCATTGCTGGGACTCATGCATCAGATGTTGGTCACTCTTGACAGGCAGATCCGAGCGTGGCCCTGTGGGATGTGCATGGCCCAGGCCATGCCCACCCCGCAGGCACTGCCCACTGTGCCACACTGCTGACCACTGTGCCACACTGCTGGCCCCGGGCTCCATGGGGCTTGTGGCACGGTGGCAGCAGCAGGCTCAAAGCTGTGACCCCCAGGAGTGTGCAAGACAGGGCTGTGGCTCAGCAAGGAAGGTCAGACAGGTCTGCAAATCTGCCAGAGGCAGGGCTGCCACACGGGGAGTCAGGCTGGACCCTCTAGGGGTTTGTAAGGAAACACGAGCAGTCCTCCTGTGCCCTCCAAACCTTGGCATGTTCCTGGTCTCCACCATTACCAACCACACCCAGGAACATCAGGCTTTGGTTCCTTCCACACTGAATCCCATCAGAGCCTGTCCATTTTCTCTCACTTGTAGCCCCTGCTGGTAAATCTTTTCTGAATTATGAAACGCTTATGTCTCTTTTTTTTTTCCTTTTTTTAAACTGTTACTTTTTGTTGCTGCTTACTGGTGTTTTGCTGTGGGCTGGGTGTGGAAGTGAAACTGCTGATATTCCTGTGAGCAGGGCAGGGCAGCTGGCGTTCCTGACCCCAGCAGGAAGCACCAGACACGATGACGGGCAGCAACTTCTGGTTATTCTCCAGCCCGTTGTGCTAATCCACAAAGGCTTAGCCAAACTGGGTACGTTTTTAAATCTTTGCAGCTCGGTGGTTTATCCAAACCGAGCAGGTATCGCCTCACAGGCGCTGCAGTAGGGCGGCTGGCATGGGCCCCATGTCCCTGCAGGCGGGCAGGGAAGGGGGAGCCTGGCCATCGGGAATGCCCTGCTGTGCCATGGCTGCTGAGTCGGCTTCTCCTGTAGAGAGCACCTCCCAGAAGCCCACAAACCTCCCGGGTGGGGTGAATCCGAAGCCCAGGAGCTTTGTTTCCTGATCAAACACAAGGAACACCAGTCCACCAGTGGCTCAGGATCCCAGTCCCACATCGTTTTCCCTGGCATGCAGTGCCTGCAGCAGGCAGCGTGGCCATGGCAGCTGGCAGCCTGTGGGAGGACAGGGCAGGCATGTGGGCTCCTGGGCCCCAGCGCTCCCCTGGGACATGGCGCATCCCGTGCAGAGCACGGCACACACAACGCTGGGTACAGCACGTTCATGGCCCGGGGAAGGCTTACATGACTCGTGAGCCTTTTCCCCACTTCCCTTAGCAATACACAAATCTCCCCGAATATTCCAAAAAGGGAACTTTTTTCAGTAGCAGTTCTGCACCTCATTCTGAGTGTGTTATCTTCTCTGAGAAAAGGCTATGGAAAAATGGTACAATCTTTCAAAACAGAACTGTGCCTTTGCATATTTAGCTTTGGATCTGTTGGTATTAGAAACAAAGTCAGATTTTATTACTTTTTATTTCTTCTAGCCCTGCAGCACCAACACAGACAAGCCATGTAATAAACTGCAGAATCTTTTCTTTATTGAGAACCAGAAGTGATTTCTTTTTTTTTTTTTCCCTGTATACTGGTTCAACCCTAGCTTTGCTAACACACCGTAAGTCATATATACTATTTTGTAGCTTCATAAAACTTGTAATTCTTTTTTATTCTGGTGTACTGCTTTCTTGAGTTAATCTCTGTGGACTTCAATTAAATTTGCCTGGCCTGCTGTTGATTTCATATTCTTAAATTTTGCAGGAGCTTGCCATATGTATTTGTACACAATAATTTTTCAGCTCAGTACTGTATTTGAAATCTGCTACTGCCTGCAATGTTCTGGTGCTTGAGAAGGGAAGAAACACTCCAGAGCTGCAGGTCAACGATGGAAACAAGAAGGGTTAACTGGCTGCTGCCGGCAGAGACTATTTCATGGGACTCTTCAGATCTCAAATGCTGAAAAAGGACATGAAACAATAATCCCTTAGAGACCACGCTAAAATAATTCAAGACTAGTTAAAAACAAAACAAAACAAAAAAACCCAACACAACAAAATAAAAACAAAACACCTTTAAAGCATTTTATTGCAAGAGTTTGGCCTTTCTTAATAATATAGCTGGGAGGAACAGGCTATCTGGCTGCCTTCCGAAAGTCCTTGGTATTTAATAAACCCCAGGGATCCTTACACTATAAGTGTGGATCATGTTTATGTGGATGCATTGGGCAACCTATTACAATGCTAGGGGTTAAAAGTCATTTCCTTGGATTCCCAACCAAGATAAACTCATCCACACCCCGAGGTGAATAGTACTTAAAGCCGCGTTTGTAGAAAGAAGGCAGTCAGGTTTTCCAGCACCTGGAAAATGGCAGGCTTATCTGTTAGTTATCTCTCACGTTGGCTTTTATATGTAAATTTGTCTGCAGGAGCAGTAATCGATAGCCCGTGCTCTCCGTGTCCCGGGGCTGGGCCAGCCCCTGCCGCAGGTGCCGGCAGCAGCCGGAGGGCAGCCAGCCCCGAGCCCGCTCCCACGGGCCCGGGCCGGGAGCAGCGCCCTCCATCCCGCAGCTCCTTAGCCTGGCTCCCCTTGGACCGCCAGAACCTGCCAGCCGGAGCCGGATGAATGTGATAAACCCCTCCCAGAGAGAATACAAAGAGAAGGTTCAGACCATTTTACACTGCTTGGCTCAACTAGATTATTGTCAGATAATGGAATATTCTAATAGTACCTGAATTAAGCAGGATATTTTTAACACACACGTGTGTGTGTGTATAAACACAAACGCCCACCCATGGAAATATAGCTGGGGTGACTCTCTTAAGTTTTCTGAGAAAAGGACTGTGGGTTGAGATCAAATGCGGAAAACATTACCCAGAAAGTGTTGGAGAAAGAAGGAACAAAAACCCCCGATGCCTCACGTGCAGTAAAAGTTGCTGTTACGTCCATCACAGACACACAAACAGGAAACAGCTTCCCTCGTCATGCCGCGGAGAGACCGCTGGAACGAAAGCACCGTGCCTTGCAAGACTGAAAAAACCACAGGGGGCTCTCAGACGAGAGTCACCAAGTGCGAACCCCTCGGATCAGCCTGCTGCAAGGATGGGGGCAAAAGCCAGCTGCTAGCGGCCAGCACAGCAGGGCAAGGAACAGCCCTGCCGAAAGAATGGTTAAATGGGGTTTAACCATTGCAGGCGCTCGGGCCACCTCGTTTAAGAGCTGCAGTGTGCACTGTAAATAGCTGCAGACTGCTTTTCCTCCCTGACAGAACAAGCTGCTTCTTGCTTCCACCTTCTCAAATTTCCGCATAGCCCACAGGCAAAACCGAGTGCCTTTGGTTCGGAAAGCAGAGCATTCCTTCCCGGCATCAAAGGGGCACGGGGAGCGTGTGGTGGCCACTTCACACACACACACACACACACCGAGGTGCATTTCTCGCTAGCGGCTTCCAGAGCCGCCTGTGCAGTGACTTGCCTCAGCCTGCTCTGTTCATTAGCACACAGAGGCGTGTACGCCCTTAAACCAACATTACATCACCTGGGATGCTGGAAGTCAGCTGCCCAGTTGCTCACATGGGGCACGCCGGGCTCTGCCAAGTTCCTTGGACGTCACTTTTCTTTCTTCCGTATTTCACGGTTCGTGTGTTGGGGTTTTTTCTCTTTCAATATTTGCTTCCCAAGAAAGATTAGGTGTGATGGGTGCAGGGTGGATTGCACCGGCACTGTTGTGTGAAGGAAAGGGATCCATCCATAGGAAAGACATGTGTTGTTTATTAGCAGTTTACATGACCCCAGAAATCCCAAAGCAATATGCTCGACTCCAGCAGCACAGTGACTACACAGAATTACGCTCTGTGTAATGGCAGAGTAGGCCCAGCTTGGGCATTAATATGGCTCCAAGGACAACACTTCATTTCACATCTCTGATGGAAAGCTTTTGTAAGAAGTCAAGTACCCACATGGGATTAGAAGAATAATAATCTCTTGCACTTCAGTACAAAAAATAGGGTGTGAAATCAAGCAGCTGATCAGTGGTCACAACTTTTACCTCAGCTGCTGTATTCCATTCAACAAACCAAAAGAATTTATGCAGTCCTTACAGCACCAGGAACATAGTTCTTCATCTTGCTTTTACCCACAGGAAATGTGGAATCTCAACAAAACTGGTATTTTTCTGCCAAAGACTTGTGGAAACTGCTTGCCTGGATGGAGAGGGGTGCTAGAGGAAACCAGGCCAGCCCCCCGCCCCAGGCCATGCCTGGAGAGGAGTGTGGCTCAGCTGCAGAAGCTCCTTTTTATCAGTGAACTCAGCAGCTGTGCCTCCTAGTACCCAGCTCTGACCTATTTCACCAGGCACACATGCCAGTTTTACACTGGCATCAGCCCAGTGACATCAGTGGGATTGCTCCATCCCTGCTTTAGATAAAACTTGGGCGTACAGAAGATTCACTGAAGAGGAGGATGCTCTTGTAACATGTTTTGTAGCCCAGACGTCCGTGCAGGAGACAAAATTCGGGGGTTTTGAATTTGTTCTTTTTATATCTCAAAGTATTTGTGTTTCAGGGGGTCCCAGCACCAAGCCAGCATGTTGCCCCTCAGTGTGTGTTTACAGTGTCTCCTACAGAGAGATCCCAGTCAACAAGTGACTGAGTTGCAATGCCTGATGTACCTACATGACATAAACACCAGTGAAAGTGCACTGAATTGGGGGCTGCTGAAAGACCAGGGAGCCCCACCAGGAGCAGGGACAGTGGCTTGTCTGTAGCACCATGCGGCCATCACACCTTGTCCCTTCTTGATCAGTCCCTGCAGGACAATGCCAAGGTCCCACAAGGGTGAGCCTCTGGGGTCTAGACATGAAGCAGGACAGGGGAAGCTCATCCACAGGCTTGCTTGTTAGTGCTGTATTGCATGGTCTTTCCTGTTTTCACCTCCAGACTGAGATATTTTCTTTGTTTTCTCTGTTTTGTTTTCTTTCTGTTTTTCCTCCTTGTTTTTTCTCATGGCCTGACCTTTCTTTCTACTCTGGATGTTCTTTTTCCTTATGACCCTTTAGATTCTTTGCAGCTCCTTTCTCCCTTGCACCCCTCCTTGTGCTTCCTGACATTACCAAGGTCACACATGTTTTTTTCCTTCTAAGCTCACTCACTAAGTTCTTGTCTTCCATTTTTCACTTCCATTTTCAGGATTTCCTTCCATATCTTTTCTCCATTCATTCCATTCACTTCCATTTGTCAGAAGGCACAAGGATCTTCAGCCAGCCCTTTAGCTAACAGTTATGGGGATGCTGGAATCCAGGCCAGCAGAGCCTCTGGAACATATTAAAATAAGTAGATGGTGAGATTGGAAAGATGTTCAGAAGCAGAGTGAGCTTGTGGTGTCAGATCAGGGAGATAAACCCTTTGGTTTTAAGTGGTACTGCTGCCAACAGCAGTGCTGTCTGTTCTTGCCAGAAGATAGGTGTGCCTCCATGCCTCAGCCACAGGATTTTCAAACCTCCTGCAGCAAGGACCTGGATAGGCTGCATAGGCAGTTTAGACCTAGAGCCACTATTGCTGTTGACTACCCATAGCACAAAGCTACACTCAGAGTTCAATAAGAATGAAAATCCAAGTTCCTCTGTTTAGAAAAAGTCAGGCTTATGATGCTGGTGAAACCATAACTCAGTCCCTGCCACATGCATGCTATAGCCTTTTCTTGCCCAAGACCCTGCAGGAAGCCTGTTGTAGAGCAGTGCTCTGGGATATGGGACAATGTCACAGTGCTCTGGGATATGGGACAGTGTCACAGGAGGGAACCCTTCTGCCCTCACCTCCCATCCTGCGCCTCAAATGGGGCAGGCGTCTCACAGAGCAAGTAGTATGTGGTCACATAATTACAGCCTGTGCTGTGATACATGCTCACGGTGTCAGAGCAGCATTAAGGCTGAGCAGGCAGTTACAAGCACCATTACATCATTAGATTAATCTCTCCTTGGCTGGCTAAGAGGGACCTCATCTGTTCCCACTGAAGCCAAAAGACTGTACCTCTATCCACTTGAGTGAAAGTTGGCTTGGCTCGCCCCAAGGCTCATTTATTGCTGTTAGCTCCTAGCTGAGGCTCTACCCCTGAATTCATTAAACTTTTCAAGCATAACTCATCTACCACACCTAACACACTCTGATTCAAGCAGAGACTTCAGCTGGGGTACTGTGGGTAGTGGAGTGTGAGGGGAACTTGCTCTGCCACCATGCTGCCCTACCTGTTGAGCCTGTTGAGTTGTTAAATGCCCTCAGTGGTTGTTTGCAGCTGATCAAGAGGTGAAGAAGGTCTGCTCCTGCCCTGCACAGCCCACAGCCAAAGCACTCCCAACCACAGCCAGCTTGTGAAGGCTGCTCCTCCACCGTGGTGCAGCACAAGAGCAGGGTGCCTGGGCAGCTGGGGTCGGGATGTGGTGGAAGGCCCACCCTTCCCTGTGCCTGCGGAGCCTGGTCCCCAGGACAGCCAGCAGCCGTGGACAGCGGTGGCAGGGCTGAGGGCTCCGCGCTCCGTGCCAGCGCCGTGGCGCCAGGCAGGTGCCCGTGCTCCTCCGGGCCAAGCAGCTGCTGGACTGTGCGCTTGCTCCTCAGAGCAGATCTCCTGACCTTTACCACCTCCCCAACCTCCATGGATTTCCTTGCAGGACATGTGCCTAAATATGTGAGTTAGTTGGGGTTTTTTTCCACTTCCATAGCCTTCATTTTAACTCCAAAGTGCAATTTTTGAAAAGGGTCCAAAAGTCTCATGTCTACAGAGGATCCTCCAGTGGGGGATAACCTAAAGGTAAGAAACCTTCACATGTGAATGCATCTTAACCTCAAGCCTCTTTGTTTGTTTCTTCAAAATATTGCACACGGTCATTGGAATTTTCCTTCACAACCACCTCCCAGGTAGCCTTTTTATCACCTCAGGAAACCTCTTACCATTTCTGACATCTCTGCCCCCGTGGTTTCCCATGTTGCTGATTTCAGAGTTGCACACATCAAAGTGATGAAGACACACCTCACTCTAGGGACAGAGAAGCATTATCACTCCCAAAAAATCATGTCCAGTTCAGCCACTGCCCTTGAGAAACAAATTATTCCTCAATCTGACAGACTGAGGATGCTTTTCCTGTTATTTCATCTAATGCTTTCCTTTGTTTAATTTAAACTGATTTGTTTTAACTCTCTTTTCTTGCATAATAAGAAAGAACTCCTTCATCTTTTTCTGTTTATCCATGAAGGAATGGATGAGGTCATTTTATATTTCTCTCCATACTGTCATACAGAATGAAGGCAAGTGTTTGTGGCTCTGCAATCTACACACATAGAACAGAGGTGGAGAAGCATAAATTAAAAAAAAAAAAAAGAAGAAAAATCAAAACCAAAGACAACAAATAAAAGAAACTGAAAGGAAAAGGAGTGGAAAGGGCAAAAGAGAAACTCAAAAATATATAAAGTACATGCACACATATGTTCAAGGTCATGTACACTGGCATACTGAGGCGTGCTCTCCCCATCACCTGAGAAGCCTGATGTCAGGACAGATGTTCAGCTGTTTCTAATACATAGCGTAGAAAAACTCTAGCTGAAGAAATATCTTGTTTTAACAATGAGTCATCCATGAGAAAAATGTGGGTGTAGCTTTCAGGGAAGGGGCTGGGGGAGGCTTATGAAGTCTAATTTTGCAAACCCTCATATAGAAAGATGCATGACGTTGATGAAGACACAAAGTGGGTCCCTCCCTCCCTCCCAGACATGACTGAGGGTAATCGGCTCCCAGTGAGAGTTGGATTGCAACACTTGTCCTGTGCTGTGTGTGTCCCGCCCTGGAGAGACCCCTGGAGAGGGGCAGTGGGAAGGTTCAGGGCTGACCTCACCACGGTAGCCCCAGGCACATGATACTACTGATACCAGCTTTGGGCAATGCCTGATGCAAGGACCAACCTGTACCGGCCTTACCTTGGACACTGCTGACCACCTGGAATTTTTTCCAATTCTTCTCTGACCAAATTTTTATACAGTTCTGATACATGTGCACTTATGCTCATGTTTTACCTAAGCATCAGTTGGTCTTGAGAGCCACGATTCTGCTGCTGGACAAATGTTTTTAAAGCTGGAATAGGTCAGGTTTCCTCTGGTGTCAATGAAACCTGGTCAATGAGACCAGGCCTCCAGGGCTGAGGGTTTCCTTCCAGCCCCTTCACCAGCACAAGTACCAAACACATCCCAGGGGCCATTATCCCAGCACATCTGTAAGCAGAGGCTGGGAACTGTAAACACCTCCTCAGGTTGTGAAATGCCCATTTATTCTCCCAAAGTGTAAACACCATGGGAAGAAAGGTGGCTATTGCTTAGGAATGACAGCCTGAAGATCCAGCCTTCTCCCTTGGCTATCCTGTAGCCTTTCTATGAGAGCACAAATTCAGATGTCCCAGTTTTCTCACCAGTTGAGTGACTAAAGCAGACAAGATTTCCCTGGAAGGGCTACACACTATTCATGGGTGCTGCACTGAGCACTCTGATGGTTAACATTTTTCTGATGGGGAAATCCACTGAGAACCAGAGTTGTGTTATTGTTAATTATTCCTTGGTGTGATTCAAGAAGGCACAGCCAAGAACGGCAGTAAAATGAGCAGCAGACCACTTAGCAGGGCCAAATCTAGGAGAGTGTCAAGTTGCCTTCCAGGGAAAAGGTAAGGACTTCCATGGGCAAATTAAAAAATTACTGACTAATAGGTATACCACCACAAATATTTTGTAGGCAACAATGCTTTTTGGCTTCTTTAAAATGAACTATCTGGCTTAGCCATAGGGTGGCTGAATCTTCAAACTCTGTTATACCCATGTGACTGTAGATAAATGCTTTCTTACTCTAATTACATTATTCCTTATAAACAACAGGATAGTGAGAGAGGATTTGTCTCTGGGTCTTTTCTGTCTGTTAAGCTCCAGGGTTTGTGATTCACTTTAGAAAAACAAGGGTGGTTGAAAAAAAAAAAGAGTTGTTTTCAGCTGTGTGGTGATGAAATACAGTAACTGAAAATGCTGTGGGTTTTGAGGTTGGATTTTGAGATTAAAATATTGTGGGGTTCAGGATAGGATTGGCTGGCAAAATGGGTTACAGTAAGACATTGTGCTTTCACCTCTAGAAAGCTGAGTTCAAGCCCTGTTTAAGATCACAAAGCAGTAAGTAGTTCAGGATGATTAACAGTTTCTGAAGGAGCGTGAGGCAGGACAGGAGCACACAGGGACCAGGAAGGTCCAGTTTGATTCCCACCACCAGCACTGCCTCTGTGGGGTCCCAGCTGCAAGCAGAGAAGGGCGCTGCAGGGAAGAAAGGAGATCTCTCCTGGTGTGGAGACAGGTGGAGCAAAGATCGGATTTACAGGAGATACTGCAGGTCTGGGTGAGGGCTGTGCAGCCACGGGGTCATGGCAGGTGCCACATGCTCCATATGGGCCACCCACACCAAGAGCTTGATCTTGTTTTGTGCCAAACAGTCTATGACAAGCAGGCATGACCCTGCTGCTTCTGAAAAATGGCACAACGTCAGAGGCTCTTGGGCACGTCTTCCTGTCTTAAGTATCCAGTTCAATCCTTGCATCAAGCATATTTCATTTTGCAAGCTGTTTAAGTTAAGCATCACAAGCTGCTGATTCAAACAGCAAGTTGCAGAAACATGACTGGAGCCCTCTCGAGCTCATTTTCTCCACACACTTTCAGTTTAAGCCTCTCTTAACAAGACATGTACTCTCATCAAAAACACAGCTTGTATGCAGCTTACACACATGCAGACCAGGCAGCTGCAATCAGTTTCGGTGCCTTCCAAAGTGCTAAATGCAAAGCAGTGCACCCAAGAAGACCTGCTTTGCTCTGTCGTGGAGCTGCCAAGGCCAAACCCCTGCCAGGTATCACTTGCACTTGAAATAAAATATAGACAGGGTGTTAGGGGTACCTCAGCTCTGGACTGGAGCTCTGCAGTTACTCTAAGTGCAGAGTGGTTCCTATTTGCTAATGGTTACAGATCTACCCACAAGCTACTAGCTTTGTTCAGATCTCCCAGTTATCTGAAAATAAAAATGAGCTTTTTCACAACATATTACCCGGTATTTTCTGTTACTTCTGGGATTTTGCAAAGTACTGTCACAATGGGTTCTTCTTTAGTTTTTTTTTTCTTCCTTAATTACAATGATTCCTAGAATGAAACAAGAGTTTGATCCAGTTCCAACTTGAGTACCCTTTTGAATTAAAATGCTTTCTTTTAACACTTGCAGATCTTTCTAAAGTTTATCTGTAATTTTGGCTTACATGAGGAGTTACAAACCAAATCAAAACCACAACATGATTCCAAAGTGCTTTGTGGAGTTGGGTATTATTTGAACCTTTTTTCAGAGTGGTCCTCACTGCTTTGTAGAGCAAAGCCTGACTCTAGCCGTGTCTCCCTTATGGTAATCACCAGTTCACAGCATCCTTCACAGGAGCTTCTCTCAGCTCATCTTAGCTAGTCAGTGCTGTAGAGGAGTTGTATGGATTTTTTTTTTTTTTAAGTAAAGGAAAATCTGTCCAAGGCTCTGGATAACCCAAAAAGCAATTAACAAATCCATTCAATTTCAGCAATAAGAAAATATCAGGCTCACCAGTCAGGTGAACAGCAGTAAGGTGGCACTGCCAGAAATCCTTTTCAGTGTTTTCCTCATCCTGGAGATCAGACTTTTTCCCCCCACAAAACTTGAATGTCCCCAAAATTTGGCTTTAGAAGTAGGACTGGAGAACCAGCAAATTCAGGTCAGTCCTGACAGGGGTTTCCTGCATCCCACTGTGTCCCAGTGCCCCTACAGAGACATTCCCTTTTCCAGCAAGGGTGCTCCAGCACACATCCCTGCTGCCAGTTGCTGTGACAGTGCAGCAGGGAGAGTCAGACGCTCATTACAGCCAATTGTGGGCCATTCAGTTTTTTATGGGAACCAACCAACACCCAAAACTGCACCCAGAAACTGATGAGCCACAGGACTATTTCCTGGAGGGACATGGGCATCCTGTACCCCCAAGGAGATGACCCCTTGGACAAATGCACTGGACTTCTGCAGCGGATGCCGTCTCTGAGAGGGTTTAAGATGTGACCTCAGGAAGGACCAGTGCAGCAATCTAAATCTGCCAGGCTGGGAAATGTGGGCAACGCCCCGTCAAAGGGCAGCATTGCAAAACTGTGGCCCTTTCCACCAGAAGGGTTCCCAGTGCACCTTTACTTCTGCATTGCTCTTCCTTGACCTCCTCCAGGTTAAGTCACTGTTTTCCCTGAACTCTCCATGGGATAACATAGCACAGCTCCAGGGAGGCTTAAGGTCTCTTTGAGAAACACCCAGCTTGGCTGAATGAGGATTCACAGATTAGACGGCCTGTTGGTCTAACCCAGAACATCCTTGTCTGTGTCTGTGGCAGAAACTCCACTTTCCTCCCAGATATGATTGTTTTGGAAAGCAAAAGCAAGGGAGAATGTGTATGGCTGCTGAGGCAGATCAGACTGCTCACCCTGATGAAAGCCAGGGAGTCCCCACAGCTGTGCCATGCTACCTCCCTGTCCCAGCAGCCGCAGCCTCTGCAGCAGCACAGAATCCCAAGTGGTGAGAGGCAGCGTGGTTACCAACACCCAGGACACCCCATTCCCGACCTCTTTGTGCCCCGGTGCCTGGAGTGGCACAGCTCCCAAAACCCCAGTTCAGGAGGAAGTGGGGCAATGGCTGAGGGGTCACCAGACCCTCCCATTGCAGTTGATGGATATAAGCACGGCACACTGCACTGACACTTCTCTCAGCACCTGCAGCTAAAGTTATCTCCGGAGTGCAAGTAAGGATGCATTTCCCACAAGGGAAAACTGGCAGGGGCCATGACACTCCCATCCCCCCATTTGAGAAGCAGGAGTGATGAGGTGGGGCTGTCTGCACGGGGGTGTCTCTAGTAAGCTCTGTTTATGGCTTTGATGCCAGACACAAGGTACAATTCCTATTACAGCTCTCATTTCCATGCCCTGCTGTTTAATCCAAGTGCGTCAATGCATCACCGGCATGTGAGCTGAAAACATCCAATTGGTGTTGAGTCACAGGCAGCATCTCAGTGGTGCTTTGGATCCCAGCACCACTGAATCCTGACACACCACAAAGGCCAGGACAAACTCCAGCACCAAAGGGATTACACACAGTCACCCATTGCACTGCTACTCCCTGAGACATGGAAATTTGGTAGGAAACATCTTGGCAAGCACGTTGGAGGGCAGGACAGGACTTTTCCTGGTGTGCATGGATGGCATGGGCAGGGAAGGACAGGGAAAGACAGGGAGGGGGGGTAGGAAGGAATAAAGGTGCTGGCCTGACCCCCTGCATGGATCCCACAGCATCCCTGCCTCGGGATGGCTGCGCTCAGGCCCTGTGTGGGCAGGGCTGACAACACCTGGAAAGCTCCCTTCAAGGCAAAGGGCTTGCATTAAGGCAGGACTTGCACTTCTTTCTCCCAGCATACATCTGGTTTCAAGACAAAATTCCTTTACACTTTTTTATGTGTTTTTTTTTTCCACTTGAGAATACCTCGAGGGAAATTCTGAATACCTCGCTGTATGGGTTCATTGATATTTATATCTGAGCTGCAGTAGCAGAGTTGCGTGAATATTGAGTAATGTTCCAGGCAGAACTCAAATAAAAATAATTGAGTTTCCTCATCGAACAGAACCTGCTTCCCCACCTAAATAGTAATTCTCTATTCAGGGAAGCACCCGGGGCTTAATCTGTTAATTTCCTTCTCTTTTATTGTATTTTTTTTTTCCCCAAGAGGTTGTTCCATTTAGAGATTATTAAAATGTAATCAAACCCTATGTCAGAAAATCATTCTAAAATGAAAACCAGTACTTAAATACTGCTGCACTTAAGCATGGCAATCGTTCTCAGCATCTTCTGATAAAGCTTCTAGCAAACATGGTATACGTTCTTTTCTGGCCTGAAGTAGCACAGAATCAATTTTCAAAACAAAATAATGTGCCCAGCACTATTTGATATTGTTCTCTTAGTATGTAATTGTTCAGGTAACACTAATGAAAAACGTTGCCTTGATATCAAGTCCATGGAAGCAGAAGAGTTTTGTTTGATCAATGATTCACAGTGTCAAAAAAAGCAGTGCTGGCTTCCCTTCTCTGTTGTCAGTGCAGTCCCCCAGAGGGCCTGGGAGGCTGCCAGGGTGAAGGGGAATTCTGTTTCCATGACTCATCCATTCCTGGGCTGCAGCGGAGACAGCCAGCAAGTGGTCAATCAGTGGCAATTGTCATGGGGAGTTGATGATGTGGATGCTCAGACCATCAGCATATTTCACAGGAGCCATTCAAAAGCCCTTCCTCCTCAGGAGTGGGACCAGAAGCTGTCTGTAAACCTGAAAAATCCCACCTGTGTTTCCTACCAAACCCCGACCTCAACAACCTTTCACTGTGTCCTTTATTTAAAAGTGGGTTTTTACAGTATTTTTAGCAACGATGAGAGCAAATCAACTAAAGCACTAACTGAGTAATGTAGCAGAGCCGGGTAAGAGCCCGGGGTCTATCAGGCAGAAAAAAGCAAGTGTGCTTCTGAACAGGAATATTTTAGAAAACATTGTAGGAGAAGAATTTTTTTAATTGTTCCATTTTCTAATCATGTCTTTCTGTAACTCCTTCCCCTATGGCACATTGTGTTCTCAGTGCTCCTTAAAGTTCATCAAGACAAAGAAATACGTTCAACAAAATAGACAATAGCGCTATGCCTCAAAAACCACTACGAGTTCCCCACACTTGTTCGGGGAGGCTTCCAGCAGTCCCACAACACAGCTGGATTTATCTAATGCTCTATCTTAAAAGGCAAGTCTTAATTCCACCAGACTTTGCAGCCCATCCCTCGAGCCAAGCCCTCACGGAGGCAGTAACACGGAAGGCCGTGTATTTTCCTTCGGCTGGGTGTTCTCAGCCTGCCCGGGCTGCCGAAGGAGCCGGTGCCCATGGGTGCCATCCTGGCGGGGTGATGGAGGGCCGGGAGCCGCAGAGTTTGTGGCAGCAGCGAGCGTGCCCAGCGAGAGAGGGTCTCTTGGGCAAAGCAGCCCCCAAATCCATGTGACAGGTGCGGGGACACCCCAAAATGCCCGGAGCGCCGCTGGCCGGGGTGCCAGCAGGCAGAGGGGCCCCGCAGAGCCCGCATGGCCCGGGGCTCTAATGGACACTCCGCAGCCGTGCTGGGTCGCCCTGCTTTGCAGCTATGCATGCATTCAGCATTTAAATCTGGCCTGATCTCCCTCTGAAAGCTTGCATTGCAGCTAAAAACAAACCAACCAAAACCCAAACATTAAAAGCAGAGGGTGTTTTTAAGAACAATTTTGTAGCAGGGCGAACTGGAAGAAGGAGTAGGCTCACTCATGCTGGGTTCTGTACAAACACAAAGGCAGCTCTTGAATGAATGTGGTCCCATATGATCTTCTTTTGTCCAAGGCATAAGGAAGCAGCTCCAGATGACTGGTAATCTTTTTCCATGCTGCTATCCAGGTCTGAAATAACTGGGGTGTGGTAAATCTATGCTGACGTAAATGAGAGAAGGTGTTTTGAAGAACCCAAGACAGGGAGAACAAATTAAAACCAGAGAAGTTTGCTGAATGTTACACAAGAAAAGCGTACTCTATTTTCTGTTTCTTTTGTGACTGTAGAAATTCTCATTTTAAATTACAGAAAGGAGGCCAGAAGGCCAGAGCCAGTATGATTTGCCTTGTGAGCTAGCAGTAACCCAACAAGAAGACTGGCAATGAACCAGCCATGATAAAGTTTAGAATCTAGAGATTCAGAGCTCCACCGACATAGGATGAACCTAAACCTCACAGCCACACACAACTGAACGTGGGGGAATTCCAGCCCCAGCTGGAAGTGGGGCTCTGTACCAAATCACCAGTGGCACCGTCCCCAAGGCAGCGACAATGTCTTGGTTTGACCTTCCCCCCCCCCCCCCCAAAGCTACAATTCCAGCCCCAGCTGGAAGTGGGGCTCTGTACCAAATCACCAGTGGCACCGTCCCCAAGGCAGCGACAATGTCTTGGTTTGCCCTTCCCCCCCCCCCTCCAAAGCTACAGAAAGCTGTGAAGCAGACTTGTGCTACTTGCTGAGGGCAAAAACCTCCTCTGACTGCTGCATTCATTTGCTAAATTGCACTACGGCCTGTCAGGAACATTCAGAAACATTGTTTGGGCTTGATTTTTGTATTCCTTTTCCTCTAGCAAAGTACCTGCAATACCTGCAAGTTTAGTACAAACAGATCAGCACAGCTTGCAGCCTAGCTACATACTTGGGTCTTGAGCTCCTGAGGTTTTGGATGATGTCAGCCTGCTCTCCCGAGGGCTGCTGCTGTCATCAGATGGTGGGGCTGATAAGGCACATGTTATGATGAGGCGTGCTGTTGGTTTTAATCACAGTATCGTGCATGAAGTAGGAAAGAAAGCGCTGTATTTCCTGGTACAGTACCTTGATAAGGCTCTCACTGCTTCATAGGTATTTCCACCACACTGTCCTCTGCTCAGCACGCTACAGATTGCTGACAATCTGAAAGTACAAACAGTGCTAGGGTACAAAAACCCAGTTCCTCCATCAAAAACATGTTTATTTGGGACGCTTTCTTTTCCCCATCTCAATTTCACTCACTCTTTTCTTTTTCTTTTTTTTTCTTTTTTTTTCTTTTTTTTTAATTATTTAATCTTTTGCGAAGTAGGACCCAAAACAGCTGTTGAGTGCTGGACGAAATACAGTCAGTTCCTAGAGCAGGTTTTTCCCTGTCCCTCATTCCCTACTGCATTTGGGAATCACATGAGATCTAGCACAGCCTGTGAGTTAGGGGCCCTTGGCTGGATTTGCAGGCTCCAGTCCCCACCAGCACTTGCTCCACAGTGCTCAGATGCTTACTGCTGAATTGCAGTTTCTTCCTCTCTCCCTGGTTTGCTTCATATTGAACATTATGATTTGTTTTACTAGCAGACCAAATGACAGCAGTTCAAGGACCAATTGTGTGTGTCAGAGAGTACTGAAAAGGAGTTGGTACATTGCCTTTACCTGGAGCTGGACTGGATTTTACTTTTTTTTGCATTCATGTTTCTTGTCCACTTTTTGTGTTTTACTTAGCTTAAGCAGAGGAGCAGGCTGGACCCCTGATCAATTTTCATTGCCACATGCGGGAAAGTCATGGCATTCCCAGTCCTACCAGCAGGAGCACAAAACCAGATGTGCAAATATTGAAGAAATCCACATTTCTGCCAGCTCTGCCTTTTCACAGTTAATCTCTATGTACCAGAAAATGGGGCATAATATATTATTTTGAAATTCTAATTATATATAAATTGTCATCTTGGCCTTGCTATCTGCCAGTTTTTGAATGAAGAAAGAGACACATCACTACCTACACTCGCCAACAGAAATAAAGCGCAGATACCATTGCTAGAACAATGCTTGTCTGATATTGCTGGTTGTCCAGCTCATCTACTCCTTATGGGTATTTAGACTCCTAATTTCTGTTTTAGCAACTAAAATAAGATTTTATTGGTTTGGGGTTTTTATTTGGATATGCTAAGCATCTGGTCTATCCTCTTTCCTTATGATACCACAATTGGAAACCAGATTCTCGTTGCTGAAATCCTAACACAGGTCAAGAGTGATTCCTAAACCCAGCCAGCCTGCCACTCAGCTTCCAGATTCCTAGAACCAGCCTGCCTGCCACTCACCTTTCAGATGAGGCAGATGTTAAGGGAAAATATTTTACTTGCAGTATAGCCAGAGGTGATCCAAAATCCCGCAGTGAGGGTCATCACTGCTTTGCCAAGGAACCTCCTCTCCAGGGCAGAACCTGATTCTAAAATGTTGGTGACGTGGTGGCCGCTGGTGAGGGATGGTGGATGACTTGGTTGGTTTAAATACCTTGGCAGAGTAATTCAGAAGGGTGAAGCAGTGCATGGTGAAAGGTTTGCTGTACTTTTCTACAATGAGCAGCACTAGGCAGGCAGCTGCTGATACAATGGGGAGGTGACCATTTGTGATGAACAAGGAGAGATCGTTTCTTTTCCCAGTGCATGTTTGCCCCTTGGAAATGAGCTGATCAGGGAGGCCACAGGACCAAATTCTACAGCTGAATTTTTTTGAAGCCAGATAATTTTATGACCGCTGTTAAGAGCTGTAATTTACTTAAACCAAGATAATGGTAAATGGAAACAAATCAGCTCCGTGTTTCAAAGCTGATGTTCCCTGGGGATAGGGAATAATGTCTCTCCTTCATGAGGAAAACCAAAGGGCAGGAGTATGGCTTCCTTTGAGTGCACTGGTGGGGGCCCCAGGCTGCTCCAGCCTGACAGTGGGGTGACAGCCCAGGGACCCTGGGTGCTGTGAAGCACAGTGCTAATAGCAGAGCTAGTTACTAGATATTAGGTATGCACACTTATTCATACATGCAAGCCACTGGGCATAAACTCTGCATAATGAGGCACCCACCAGGGCCAGGCTGAGTGAGGGCAGCCAGGACGGCCCACAGTAATGGGGCAGGGCCCTGGTTGGCAGCACAGTGCTGTGACAGGAGGTGGAACTCTGATTCCCACTGTATTGCTAGCAGAACCAGTATAATTTGACATGGTGCTTTTCTCCTGACCTCATCCCACATTAGGCCAGGAAGGTTAAATTTAGCACCTCAAGAACCAAAGGCAGGACAGCATCACCAAGTGCAGAGCCAGGCTTAAAATGAAAGTCCAGGGTGGGTCTAGGACCGCCTATATTTCTAGCAGGCATGTGAAGAGAAGCGTGAAAATGTTTTGAAAATGACATTCCCTGGGAACAGGCTGGAGAAGAGAACAGCTGGCAGGAAAGCTGGAAGGTAAAACCACACGTGCCATTTTGCAGGACTTTGTCTGGAAATTGGGCTCCAGTCTTGTTAATCAAAGGCAACAGGACAAAAAGTTAGTGGCCACAAACCTCTGCAGGAGACATTCAGGTTCAGTATAAGTTAGTACAGAGAAGTTAAAACTGCCTGAGCCTTGGAACTCCCTGACAAGGGAATGCTGTGCACGCCTCGGTGCTGGAGACATTCAAGGCTATCAATAGTCAACCCCCTCTGCCTGAGAGGTGGTGTGACAACAGGGAGTGCAGCCCTGCCACAGTTAAAAGAGAAGGTCTGAATGATTCACTGGAAGGCCCTGCCAATCTGGATGACACACTGATAACCCCACAGGCCAGGCCATGGACCACTGGCCTCCCCCAGGCTGTCTGCCCTCTATTTCTTTCCAACTGCTCGCTTTTGAAACAAACTTTTGCATGTTTTCAAAACATCTCCGGTTCTGTTTTCATGCACACTGGAAGTGTTTGTCTGGTCAGAAAAATTGCTGGAAGAAAGAAAATATATTGGTCAGCAGGTTCAGTCAATGAACCCAAAACCCACATTACCTAAACCTAAGAGGAAAATTATTTTCTGCAGCTCTTCTAGCTCTTTTGGCTAGGCACCCTGAAGAGGGGGTGAATTAGGACTGTTCTCAGCTTTTCAATCTCGTTATAAGTTTGTAAGTATAATAATAGGGGCAAATGGGGTTATTTGTAAACACAGCACAGAATATCTGAGACTCAGGGATAATAAACAGGGTGCCTCTTTGCACCCAGTTTATTTTCACTGCCATTCTTTTTCCAAGCAGAAGTGTGCCTTTTATGCTCTGCTGTGGGCCTTTAACAACAGCTATTTTAACAAAAGCTCTCCTCATATCTTGTGATGGTAACTTCTCAGTAAATCAGAACTTTGCTGGTGCTCAAAAGCCCTAGCAGCATCTCCAGAGCTGGGAAACACAGTATATTCCATCCACACAGCTGTAATCAAGGTAAATCACAAAGGTTCCCACCTAAGGCTTCTCAAGAAATCTCTTTATAGCAAACACAGCAAGAGCTTTAAGAGCTTCATTGGCAGTTTTTCCATATTGCTTAATGTCTCCTTAGGGGCCGTGGCTACCATCCCAAACAACATTTCTATGGCTTGCGTGGCTACATCCTTTTCCTGTGAATCAACGTTGGCATCTGCTCATCCAGAGTATTCAGGAGAAATATTTGCTGTTGCCTGGAGACTATGACAGGAGAAAAAGTATCAGGAGTCCTGAATTATTTTTGCAGTTCTTACTGCGATACTGTGCCACCGCCAAACAATCCCCTTTACCTGGCAGTTGTATCTCTAACAGGGTTCCAAAACCCGTGGAATAGGTACAGACATATTTGCCAAATGCCCAAAATACCTGTAAAGTCCTCCCAGGCCCACAGGTGAAAGGCATCATGTAGAAATTACAAAACACATCTGCACAGGCCAAGCAGACCCCATCCGTCTGTGTGGATACCGTCACTGCTTGTGCTTTCTGTCCTCGCTGGGAGGGAGACAAGCCCTGCGGGGAGAGCAGGGCTCTGGAGAAGCCCCTGTCCGGCTCATGTGCCGAGCAGGGTCTGGCAGCGCCGAGGCACCGCAAACGTGCCAGACCTACGGCCGTGCCGGGACTCCAAACACACAGGAATGCCGCCGAGCCCTGAAACCAACTGAACCAGAGTTCCACCAACTCCAGTTGTTCAAACCTTCCACATCCCACCGGCAACCGCTCGCATGTGTGGGGGATGAGAAAACTTCCTTCCACCCAGAGGTGCAAGAAAACTCTGGAGCTGGCAGTCACGTGCTCCACAACAGCCTTACAACCCGCAGGATCCTGGATGGAAAAATTTCACTTCCATGTGTTGACTGAGTTAATGTGGTGGGGATAGTGGGCGGACATAAAACGAAACTATGAAAAGAGATTAATTTGCAGCTGGAGCCCAGGCAGGGAGAATTCCAGTCCTCTGTTTGCTCAGAAAACGGCAGCTATTACCAAAACCCAGTCAAAAAGAAGAGGTTAGGGCAGTGGTAATAAAAAAAGAAAAAAAAAAAATTATGAAAACCAGGGCGAGCGGCGGGGGGGGGGCAGCAAAAGTGAAACAAAACCTCTGTGGAAATTAACATGTGGAATTCAAAACATTTGCAGTATAATAAACCCAGGCGAGCCCATAAAGCTGCACTGGCCAAAAGGAGCTGTGTTCGGCCTGCGAGGAAGCCCGCAGCGGTGTCAGGGCCGGCAGCAGCCGCGCTCCCCCCGAGCACCGCGGAGCAGCGCGGGGGGAGCAGCGCGGAGCGGGCAGCGCGGGGCAGCGCGGAGCAGCGCGGAGCGGGCAGCGCGGAGCAGCGCGGGGGGAGCAGCGCGCCCCGGCCGCGCTCAACGCCGCGCCCGCTCCCACTCCAACCCCTCCGGCGAGGAGCAGGAGCACATAAATCAGCTGCGGAGCTGCCCACAGGGCTTAGTCACAGCAGGTATTGGTTTAGGGCGTTTAAGAGGAACTTTTTTTTTTTTTTCCTGTAAGTATTCTAGGGAATAAGCATCGGCTTTGTGAGGAAAAGGCGTTGCTGAATGGGCCAAAGAGTCTCTAAACAAAGGACATTTTGCATCTCCAGGCAGAATCATCTTCTGACATTTTGGACTGGACTCAGCCTCGAGGGGAAGAGCTGTTCTGTGGGTTCCCAGCAGACTCCTGAAGTGTCCCCCCACCAAGCCAGTCTCACCATCTGTCCCAGTGTTCCCAGCCCAAGACACGCTCTACAACTCCTTCACCCCTTCCTCCCACCTATCTCCTTCCTAACACTGCTTTTGCTGCATTCTTCCTGTTTGTGCCTGGTTCATGCCCCTCAAACTGCTTCTGCTGTGAGCTCCTCCTGACCCCTCTTCTGTGGGGCCCAGGTAAGAAAGGCACGGTCCTTCACTTAAATTTTTTGCCTGTTTTCACTTCCCTGACCACACTTTTGCTTGTTGCTGGAGCATGTGGTCACTCGGCACACCAGCTCTCTGCAGCAGAACTGCCTCATCAGCCCCCCGGGAGGCACCAGACCTCACACCTTCGTGTTTGCCTGCTGTAATGCAGGGCGTGAGGAGCCTCCCTGCAGCACAAGTCTCTCTCTCCCTCCCAGGCAGCGTTTTTGTGTCACTGCTGCCCCTGGGCATGTCTTCAGCCTCCAGCCCCAACACACCCCCAGCACTGAAGTCAGGAGCCTCTTTGTTCACACACTGACCACAGCACCTTCTCCCAAAGCCTCTTTCTCCAGACTCAAGCACATGCTAGCTTTCCCCAACACAGACCACACAAATTGCAGCAATTAGCACGTGTAAAGGGCATGCTGTGGTTTTTGCCTGTATGACTGCATCTTAATAGTCATTCATATCCTTGGGCATGGTCATCAGATAGTGTCCAGCAGGCTACATTATCCACACCTTCCCCTCAATTTGATGCTCTTGAGCCCCAGTGGATAGAGCCAGATTATTGGCTTTATGCACTTGAACATGAGTAGTCTTCAGACTCTAGACAGCAGGGCTTCTTTCTCTCCCATGCTATCCCCACGCTGCGTGGGCTCAGTCTCTGGCTCTTGATCTCCAGTGGTGACCCCACCCTTTCCTGCCCCACTGCCACGTCCCCTCTGCTGTGCAAAGGCCTGGCAGAGCCCATTCTTCCCGAGGTGATTTGCAGCAGGAGCCCAAGTCCCATCCACAGACCACTGCACTTACTGCATGGGAACCATATGGACTGAAAATTTGAGCCAGCTGGTAACAGTCCTCCCAGTGTATTTCTTCTCCAAATTCTTTCCCTCTCTGTCTCCCAATTTCATGACTATACTGATGAGACAAACTCTGTCAGGACCAGGAACTTGGAAAATTTCAAGGTTCCTTTTAAATGATATTTTTCATCTGCAATCTGGCACACCATATCTATGTACAAGTGATACTAAACAAAAGTTGGCCAAAATCAGACATTTAAATTCCCAACTGCCTTTAAAAACAAAATCATCAGCAATAACAAAGAACCCCTATTTGACTTTTCATCTCTCTCCTATGATGTTCAGGAAATGAGATGGCCTCTGCTCCTACAGGCCCTAAGTGCAGAACTGAAGGTGTTTTGGCACAAAAGCCACAGCTAGTCCATAGCAAAGCAGTGAGCAGTCAATAGTGTCTCTGGAACACGTACAGCTCTTGCAGGAGTTAGGAAGGGGGGAGGCAGGTACCAGGGTGGGATCTGAGCCACCGATCAAAGTCATCACATTATTCCATACCAAGAGGCAACTGGCACAGCCAGCCATACACAATGGCTCTAATTTCCAAGACATATTGAGGGTGGATAGCACTAGACACACCTGACTTCAAAGCCAGGAAACAGCAATGTTTGTAGCCCAGAGGCATAGACCAAGTCCTTTCTTAGAAGGAGCCCACAGCAAGCGACATGACTACAACAAAATGTATGCAGAGAGAAGCACAGCCACGTCCCCTGCCCCACAGTGTGAACTGTAAGCACAGCCTGTGCAGTGTACAGAGGCACACTTTGCCATGGCACCTTACAGGCTTCTTCTTCTTGTGGGTGCTTCTCTCTGCCCTGCCACAGCGGGCACGCCAGGAGCAACTGCTCTGGTGCACAGGCCCAGCCCTGCTTTATGGCCACTCTGAAAGTCCCATGCACTAAATCAATAAGCCAGAGTGAAGGAATCCTCAAGTCAGAGGAATGTGTGTCTCAAAACTATCATGTCAGAACAGGCTATTTATACTTTTCTGAGCCTTGCCTAGGCAATTACCAGCCATTACCAGTAGCTTCACCTAAACAACTAGGTGAACTTGCTAACCCTTTGAGAAAGAGCATGAACAACTCATCCATGGTAAACACAGGGAAGGAGAGATACTCTCTAGAGTGTCTGCTGCCACATACCAAAGCTGCAATGAATCCTAATGGTATCATTTCAAGTCAATCCTTTCACTGCTGAAGGCTCTTGCATCCTGTTCTGCTCTTCTCTATCCCCTGCACAAAGCAGATCAAGGTTAGTTTCAAAAAGCAAAACACAGAGTGACCAAGCGTATATAATTAATAAACTCACAGAAGAAAAACAGTGCTGGCTTCCCGGAATCAGTGCACTTGAAGGGCAAGGGAAGTACCCAAATACCATGGGCAAAGACCTACTTTTAGCACAGCTTCCTGGTTGTTTGTCATACCAATAGCATTGTGCAACTGATACAGCTATAATTCATCAATTATTAACTGGTCAAAGACTATTTGTTTGAAGAGCTGCACTGAAAGTCCAGAAAGGAAGCAAGCAGTTTGAAGCTCCATGTTTGTGCCCTGCAATAGACCTGGGATCCCCTCCAGATCAGATACTCTCACTCTTCAGGGGCCAACAGCTTGATTCCCAGCAGCTGAGGAGGCACACCTGGGCACTTGATTCAACCATGCACGAGTTTCCCAGTCAGAACCCATCCCTCACGTGGGGCTCATTGCCTTTATGCCCAGGAGCAAGGCTGCAGTCAAAGGTACTGCTGAAGGCCAGCAGTGCTGAAGCTGTGCCTGAGGCTCTTCTCTCAGAGATCAGCATACAGACCACACCATGCACTAATTTACATCAGTATCTGCCAAAGAAACTCCCCACATAGCTTTTGCAGTGTTCAAGGGAAGCAGCTTCCATCAGCAACTCTTCTTCCTCCGTGTTTCCTCCACCCAGCTCACCTTTAGTGCCAGACCACACAAGTGCATAGAGCTAACAGCAGAGAAGGTTGGTTCACCCGTGTAAGCCTTGAGGTATCCTACAGCTTTTGTTTGGCAGGAACTTTTCCAACATGAATTAGGAAATCTGAACATTGAGGCATGTTAAGACAGCTGAAGGATTGGTGGTTCAGCAGCAACATTTCAGCCTCAGTTTGGAAGAAAAAGCTTGCTCCACAGAAGAGCTCAAAGGTGAAAACACAAGACTGAACACCACGAGCAGCGCTGGCAAGGATGTGTTCCTAAACAAAACTAATGATCTGAGAAGTTTCTGGGATTGCTGAAACTTCAAAATGTACAAAGGCTTAAATGGGATAGCAGGGTGATGTGTGCATACACTTGAGCCTTCACTGGGGGTTCATGTTCCTCTCCCCCACAAAGCACCAAAGAGCCCCTCTGTGCAAGCAGACCAGTACCACCAAGAAGCCAGGACTGAGATTTGGAGTATCTCTAACACTTTGACATCCCACTTTAGCCTCACTCAAAACACACATAAGCCCTCATTGAAGAGGAATGAGCTGTGCAGGAACACACAAAACATGCAAGCAACAAAAGCCAATCCCAGGTTTAAGCAATGCTCATCAGAAAGAACTTGTCAGGAGCACACTGACTGACTCAAGCACTCCATAAGAGACAGAGAAGGTTAGAGGCTGCCAGGGGAGGTCACACCAGGTATTTGCTGCCACTGATCTGCTCCCAAGCACTTGCATGGCTGACCTGCTGCATCAGTGAGGAAGGATGGACGCCTGGGCACACTGCAGGCACTTCAAGGGTCAAGAGAAGAGAAGCACCTGCATTGGTGGGGCTGTCTAAACCAGCCCCTCTATTTCTGCAAGTAAAACCAGCTCCACTTTCAGTTTATTGAAAAAACTTGGGGTTTATTGATTTAAACTGCAAACAGTCATTACAAAAGAGATTCTCTTT